TTTACTGCTCTCTTTCCTTTGAATACATACTTTCAGATCACATCCCTTGGTCACAATCTGTTCTGGAGAAATTCATGCTAACCACTTGTCATGTTTAAACCGATGGAGGGTTTGTTCTGGTGCCCTTCCAGGTGTCAGGGCTGCCAGGCCTCTGGAACTCCTCACATCCTCCCTCCATTCACTTTTTAAAGATATGGCTTTCTGAGAGAGGTACCATCACACCACAAAGTTGTGAATGGTTCAGAAGCCATTCCAGGTGGCCTCTTAAGCCTCTCAGGCACTATCAACTATCTACAGCTTTACTCTGAGAAAGGGAACTTCCCAAACCAAAACTTCCAACAAAAGTGAATTCACAATTTCATGTCCCCAAGAGTGACTCTGGCTTTAGAACCCTCTTCACTGGTCACTGAAAGCAGTTCAGGATTCTGTTTCCACAAAACCACAATTTCTGTACCGCTGTCCATCCAATCCCCTGCATTCACACAGGTCTCTGGCAGGACACTATAGAATCCTTTTCTCCTGACAGTTCTCATGGCTCTGAGGATGCTGCTTTGATGTAACAACCCATCATCTTGCAGTACAGAACGATTTTAATAATAGAAACCAAAGCCTAAACGAAACTACTTAGCTCTGAGCACAAAGGAGTGTAAAGTTGAATTTGTAATCGTGATAGAAAGAAAAATCTTATCTGGATTTTGAAAAAACCCAACAAACAAAAGAACCCAAGAAGAGATGTTTCAGCACTATGGGTTTTTAATTCCAAGTGCCCCTTCCCCACCCAAATGCTTAACGATCAGTCAGTTCTTTTAAAATAACTAGGTTTCAGTATACCCACTCAGTATACTCTATACTATACCCTACACTAATACTTAGGAGTGTTATATCTCCACTGATATCATAAGAAACTTATTTCAGTGTGATGTTCCTATAGGAAGATGCTGTAGGTGTAATACTCTCCCAGTGTTATGTCAGAGACACATCTCACAGCCATGTGTGGCTGTGTGAGTCCTTACCTGCTGCCTGCCCACTAAGCCTCAGCAGCCTCACCACCACCACACACAACACACACAGGATTTGCTCCTGTCTGACAGCTTCTTCCTCGAGCAGACGTGGAAGAGAAGGGTTCTGGAAAACTTCCTCACAGAGAAGGACAAACCTCTGGCCAGTACAAATATACCACCCAAAGAACCTCTATGTAATGGCTGAACTCTTATGATACTCTCCAAAACTTTTAAGTAATAGTGTAAATATAAGTAACTACCATGCATGTGTCAAAGGTTTTGACTTAATCTGCTTAAATGTGCAGTAACTTCCAAAAGCATTTTTAATTCCTGTAAGCAAATATCTTTCTTAATGCCTGAATATACATATATATATATGTATATATAGATGAAAGATGGCTCATTAAGGTGTATCTTTTACACACTAATACATTAGATTTCAGGCTTACTCTCTAGAAGACCACCTGCTGTAAGGGTTCCCATTTCCCAGACAGGCACTATTACAGATGGAAACTGAAGTGATTTTGCTCTATTAAAGTATATGATATTGGTAACTTACTTTGCTTCATCTTCTGCAAGTCACTAACTCTGCTCTTTGGGATTTTGATATGGTCTGTCTCAATTTTGTGTTCCTTCTGGTTTTCCACGTTTTCTTCAAAATTCAAGTGCTGAAGAGAATTGGGAGGGATCTGCTTCACAACGTCTGCGTTTGCATCAGCATCACTGCGCACACCTACAGAACGAGGAAGCATGTTTGGTTTTACATGGTTCCAAAAGCAGACTGTAAAGTTATTGCAAAAGAGAATTCACCACATTTAATATACACTCAATCCCAGTCGTCACCTTCTCAGGTGATTTTCTGTATGTACTTAAGTGCTTGATGAAGCCCAGAACAATAATAGGTTTATGTATTTCTTTATCCTCCTGCTAATTCACCTTTTCAAGTCTAGCAAGCATCATTTCTTGTTTCAGAGCTATGATCTGAGGAGAAGGTTGCAGAAGGTCATGGCAGTTACGCTACAGATAGTAAGTATAATAAGAATAACATGTAATCAAGGAATACAGAATGCCCAGATCCCCCCCGAAATCCCCAACAACCTGCTGCTGCTACTGAACTCCAAGTTTCCCCAGCAAGCTTTTCACTTGCTGTCTTTTATGTTTCCTCATTAATCAAAGTCAAAAAGCACTGCCCCAGAACAACAGGAAAGGAACTACTTAACAGATCTGACATTTGGAAACAATAAACTCTAAATGTGTACAGAGGCTGTGAGCTCACCAATTCTGGTGCTCTCATCTGCTCCTGCAGCCACTGCAAAAGGGAAGAAATTAAGAAATGCTTCTGTTGCCCTTTTTTTCAAAGGACCCAAGGACGGGCATAATAAACTTCAAGCTGTTTGTTGTGTCACACACATGTAACAAGCATGTTACATTGAACGGGTTTTAGTAGGACAGCATTTGAACTTGCCAAAGATGCAGACAGAACCTAACCTTCTCTTTGACATCAAAGCAAAGTGACTTGATCCATGAGCATTAAATTTCGGTGTATTTTCAACGGATTTTTTAATTCTTTCGTGTCCTAAACCTCCCCCAAGTACCCTCAAGTGAGCTGCTCACAGGAACAAGCTGCTCACAGGACACTGAGCAATTTAACCACTGTTCAATCTCTGAATAGAACGTGCTACCAACAGATCTACAGTCAGCTCCCAGTGACGTATTGCAGCCTGTGTAATGAGTACCCGCAAGGAGAGATACCAATTTCAATTACTCTTCTCCGCCCAGTGGAGAAATCTTGAAGCACTTCTCTTTGAAACTTGTAACTCTCACATTTAAGTTGGTCAAAAGGCTCAGAAATTACTGGGGGATGGACAAAAAGATCACAGAACCCCAGTGCCTCGGGAAGTCAGACAAGGACATGCTCAGCCTTGTATCCTGCAGAGACTGATCACTAGCTTTCTTTTTGCAAGCACATCAAACACCAAGAAGGGTCTGGCCACGCACATCTGACACTCAGGGCAGCAGACATTAACAGTGGGTTTCCTACAAAATGCTGACTTGTCACCTGCTAGTAAGAACTTTACCTGGTGCCAGATTTGGAGCATGGGGCTGTTCAGTCGGAAGATTTAACACAGGTTGGTGAGGTTCACTTTTAGGAGCTGAAACAAGCGGCTTCTTTAAAGCTAAAAGAAAACACACAGACAAAAGCATTAACATGAAACAGACACTCTGTACCAGGCCTTCCCCTAATAATCCTGCCAACTTTGTTGTTGTTTTCGTGGTTTTAAACCATAGATTAAAATATAAAATACAAGATTTCTGGGACAAAAATAATAAAGTTACGAGAAGCATTCAGTTTTGAGAACTCAAACCTCTAAAGCACATGATTTTACACCCTACTTGAATATTACCACCATAGACAGATTTTTAAAACTTTGCTTTCACTATGAAACACACGGCATCCAAACAATACATACAACACTAAGAACCCAAATGTGAAAGTATTAGAATACTTCTAACCAGTGGGAGTGTCTTCAGCTTTAGCGGGGTCATTATCCTCTATTTCAGGCATGCCTGCATCTCCTCCTGGTTTCATTTTCTCTGTAAGACAAGAACAGGATATGCTGCCTTATTAACAGTGAATCTCCCTCTTGTGGAAGGCTCTAAGACCAGAAGAAAAGTCCTTTATCCACAGAACGCATCTGATACTTACAACACAACTACAACACTCTTTGTGCTCCACTGCAGGCTGCTCTGGAGCAGCACTCCCAAAATCAGTGCAGTCTCCAGAAAAAGATGGGAAACAGATGTACTGCTCTTGGGAGCAGAATACAGAAAGCCTGCTGCAAGACACTGGCTGGAACAGACACTGAACTGATACCAGAAGGTGCTTATTCAGCAGCACAAGTAGAAGAAACAGAGGGAACCCCCATCTGCCTTTCAACGAGGACTCCAAGGAGGACACAACCACAATAATTACTCATTAGCAGCCTCCTGTACAGCTCCTGATAACTAGAGGTTCCCACTGTTCCTCCCAGCTAAAGACATTGCTCACTGGTTTCAAGGCTCCTCACCCCCAGCCACCAGCTCTCCAACAAGGTTCCCCTTCCTGGCTCACCCCGAGGTAATTCACCGTTCTACTTCCGAGAAATGCAGGATTCTGTACGAGGACACCACAAACTGGCTCGTTATCCATCAGAAGTAACAAACCCAGGAGATACCTTTGCCATTTGCAACGTGGTCTGAAGGTTGCTCATTCTTTACTGTGTTTTTATCTTCTGTCTCTGGAACAGTCTTAGGTATCGGCTGGTCATCATTATTGGGACCTACTTCCGTGTCTTTACTGGACTGAATTTTTTGTGTGTCCTGTTAGAACAAATTCAGAAGGAACCGGCATTAAACACATCCCTGAAAATGACAAACCAAACACCGTCAAATTCATGATTACTTTGGGTAAGCAAAATGGCATTTGTGAATTACATGATCACCAAAGCGACCAACAGCAGAATTCCTCCAACTACAGACCTGAGTCCTGGGGGAAGGAACTGAGAGGATGGACACAGGGCACAAAATGTGAAATACAGCGGGGCCGTGAGACGTTTATATTGGTGTATGTAGCTCAAGTGTAACACAAACAGGTTAAGGTGTCACTGGCCTTAAGCCTCAGGTCAGAGACTTTGAAACAACTCTAGATTTTAAGACTGAAACCTACTTTAACTTTGCATTATTATTGCCTGTTTGTAAACAGAGACAAGGAAATTAGATTTAAAGAAAAGCAGGTTATTTCATCTGTTTGTAGGAAAGAGGCCCATGTTCTACTGGCAGCTTGCACCACATAATTACACCCCTGATACCATTCAAATGCCATTGTTATTTGCATCACATTAGCACCTCGAGACCTCAACAAAGATCAGGTTCCCCTTTGCAATAACCTATACAAGGTTGTAAGAACACAGATCCTGCCCTGGAGAGCTGTAAAGTAATATCCATTTTACAGAGAAGAAACTGAAATCCTTCACAATGATGTCATGTAGGAAGGCTGTAGCAGAGCAAGGAATTAAGCCCCATCTCCAAGGCTCAGTTCACTGACTAAGCAGAACAGACAGATACTTGTACACTAATACCCATTTAGGGCTGCTCAGGAATATGTTTAACCAAAAGTTACAGAAGAAATGTCCAAAGCCTCCACATATCTGCAGTGTTCAGTCAAACAAGCAGGACTTCAGCCTATTCTGAGTCAACAAAACTTTGCTGTGTGTTACCTTCTGTTCCCGCACAACTTGGTCCATTAATTTCTTGATGATTTCTTCATGCTGCAGTCTCATTTCCTTGATCTGCTGCCCACACTGAAGACTTGATTAGAAACACATTGTTAGTTACATTTCATTTGTTGCATCTGCTCTCCCATAAATAAAATAGGGGGAAAAATAAGAAGCGGCACAAAAAGCCAAACCTGAGCTATAACTAGAATAGTGTGTCCAAAAAGCCTTGTCCTGGAATGTGTGTGGAGTGGAAATGGACTGAATACAGAAAGAAAGCAGAACTGGATTAAAACAGGGACAGAGCAGAAAAACAGCAAAATAAACAGAATGGCCTTGAACATATCACCAAACCCTGGTAAGCGACGGGAAAGTCGAGCTCCACAGTTAATCTGTCAGCACACATTAACTCCTCTAGGAAAGCAGGATCTCCCCCAGGAAAGCAGGATCTCCCCCATGGCTCTCAACACAGAAGATGCACAACTACTACTATCATTTACTGCCACCAGCTCAAATAACAGGGTATGGATGATGCAGCCCAGGATCCCAACTTCTCCCGTGAGGCACACATCACCATCAACCCAATTCAACCAAACTCCTGTCTCCCACAAATACTCAACGCCTCACACAGAGTAAAGAACAAAGAATATAAATAAAGGCTGAGGTCAACTTCAAATTTCAATCTACACAATGCTTTCTAGTTCAGTGAAAAAGGTAAAATTACACTTCCAGAAAGCCAGTGATTAAACCCCTGGCAGCTCGAGCGCTGTGCATAGAGAATCATACAACAGTCAACTGGACTCTGAAGTATTTGTTAACCAAGATCTCCATGTTAGAAAAAAAATGCATTACTTAAAATTGTCCAAGGCTGAACAACTCCAGTAAGTGAGACTTTTCTTGGCTCATGAGTCACTTTAGGGGGAGGAGCAGAACACCGCGAAAAATAGAACTTTAAAATCAAACAACTAGCTAAGTCACAGTTACACCACCAAGTGAGCACATGCAACTTTGAGGATTAGCAGAAATAGGATTAATTTGCGCTTTTTAGTAAGCACAGACTTTCACTACACATACAGAAACCTACAGTTACCACTATTCTTCCAGCTCTACCTGTCATACTCCAGCCTCCTTGCAAGGTAGGTGTTGTTCTTCTTGTACTCGTGCAGCTGATCCTCCTGGCGAATGAATTCCTGACGCAGTTCTGCCAGTTGTTCTAAAGTAAACAGCAAAAACCAACATGAAACAGAAACAGAAGAAGAAAAATGCCCCATGGCAGATACAACTGGCAGTATTGCCAAGTAAGTTAAAAATATGCTCAAGTTTTACGTTATTTCTTCTTTAAAGATTCTTTAAGTAACTTCGACAAAGATGCCAATTTACCCGTGTTTGCCAGATGTCAGTATGAATTATAGAACAGTTCTCATACCATGCCAAAACCCCTAAGTTTTTCTTTACCTTCGCATTCAGAAGACTTACACAATGCTAGTTCACCCATCTGTTGGAAATGTCCTTAATTTCCTAAAGGATTCTGCCATTCTGAGTGACACAGAAGTACTACTAGGTTGGTGATGATGAAATACCCTTTTTCTGCAGTAAGTGTACAACAGAAGGTACCTTCACACTACCCATAAAACCAATACATATTTCCTGTCTTCACAGTTGTTCTGGAAGTTCCTCTCTCTGCTCCTCAGGCTACAAATAATTGTCATGCTTCCTGCTATTTTAAGTTGCACCTCCAGAGACAGAGGCAGAAGTGCCAAGCATGTTGTCTGCAGGCGTGTTCCAAGTTTGGCATCAGCTGCTTGAGGTCACTCTGAAACCCCCACAGGAGCATCACAGTCACTGCAATCATGTCTGCATAGAACAGCCCCAAAAGATGTTTTCTGGACCTTTTCTAACTCAAATGTGAAGTGTCACAATGCTGCTGATCCAAACTCTACTAAACTGTGTATTTGGCCATGAAAATGATTCTAGTCTCTCGGAAGTGAGCAGTGCCAGAACATGTTCTTTCTGCAGACAGCAGAGCAAAGTCTAGAAGAGTCAGCCCTGTGCTTATCCAGAGTAGGCAATAAACAAATCTAGTGACATTTCATAGATTGGTTGGGTTGAAAGGACCTTAAAGCTCCTCCAGTTCCAACCCCCTGCCACGGGCAGTGACACCTTCCACTAGAGCAGGTTGCTCCAAGCCCCTGTGTCCAACCTGGCCTTGAACGCTGCCAGGGATGGGGCATTTTGCTTTATACGATGCTCCAGCACCACTTGATCTCTCATTTAAGACGTTTTCTGCAGCACCCAGGCAGTGAAAACACACAGCTTCCCAGCCTGCCAAACCACCATTTAGCCATGAGTTCCTCACCCTTCAAACGATGTATGTCTGCCATTTGATAGGATATGTTGTTCTGCAGCTTAATCTGAAAAGAAGAAACACTGGTGTAAGTACAGAGCATCAGCAGGTCAGAGGCTGAAGGCTCAGGCATGTTTGTTTGCTTTGTAAAGACATCGTACATAAAGGATTACCAGAATGAAGTGTGGGGAGTTCCTGTAAACACAAGAGATGTATATTTAGTTAGCAGTAAGTGATATTACCAACCTGAACACTGTCTTTTAGGCCTTGCTAACAAGGACTTAAATTTATTCCCAGAACATATTTCTATCCAAACCAGCCCATTCCGTCAGCACTAAAGCAAGCACACTGCATCCCGACACTGCAGGAGGCCACAGAGCATCCCCCGTGCCAAAAGCAAGGGTATAAAAATAAACACAGCAGCAGCAGCACAACCACTCTTCACCTAACGGCTATTTAAAGTAAATCACTGATGTGATGCTACCAAATATTCACCACACACACTTTATTTTTAAGAGGGAATCTGACACCACAGCCTTCCACACCAGCTTTTCACTGGATATTTTTAGTAAGGAAATACATAGCAGTTAAAATAAATGAGAAATGCCTGTGCATTAAGATGCTTTGTCTTGTTCTTACACAAAGACATATGTAAAGACAAAACACAGCAGAAACAAAGAGGAAGATGCATATGTAGAACATCCTGAGAAAGGGGGAAACCCCCACAACTCATCAGGCAACGCTGATGCTCTAATTCTCTCTCTTGCAGCTTCACGATCGATTTAAGCAGTAATTCTAGAAAGGGAGCTGAAACAGGGCTGTGACTCTCGGGTTGCAAGGTCAGAACTACCTCTTGAATAGCAAACTGAGGCATAAGCAGTCCTGTTCTGACATGGGACACACTCGGGCTGCTGCAGTTCCCACTGGGATTCTGAAGCTCAGTGGCTGAGTCAGTTACCTACATTTCCTGTCGAACCAAACAAGAGACACATGTCCTCACTTCAAGGCTTCCTCCACCCACCTCTACCTTCTCTTTCAGCAAATTATTCATGTCTTTAAAAACACTTCATGCACATTTTTGTGTTTAAGAGACACACGGACTCTGGACCCTGAGGTTCAACGCGTCCCACATGGCTGAGGCAGCGCTTCCAACTTCAGGAGCTCCGGTCATCCCAGAACTGCTGAAGCCGTGATGTTGCGCAGAACAGAGCGTACAGGGAGGCACGGGTCCAGGGAAGAGCTCCAGCCACATCCCAGAGGCTCCTCACAGAACAGAGCGCTCCGGCCAGCACTTGCTCTGAGCCAGACTGCAGTGTCCTGGCTCAGCACCGCATACACGGGCAGTGCTGGCAGCAAACCCTGCCCCAGGCTGAGAACCAAGCCAAGAGGCACCACCACCATGCTCCCACCTTTGCAGGGAAGGCCCAGCTGCTTCACAGGCTTTTCCCAAAACTAGGAAGAATGGCAGCTGATGCAATCTCCTGGTAACACGAGATCCCTGACCACGCTGCTCTGAAACACGTACAAAATGGGAACAGCCCAGGGACACTTGAGGAGCAGCCTCGGCCCATCCAACCCACACACTGAAGAAGCAGTTACACATGTGCTCTGCCCACCAAGAGGTTCAGGGCACTCCCGTTACAGGATGCACAAAGAACAATACTCAGTTAAATGAAAGCCTGTGTTGGACTTCACCCAGTAGCACAGGCAGAAGTAACCACCGAGCCCTTCTGTTCCAACAGGCACTCAGCTCTCCATCAAGCCAACACCAGGACCAGGTGACAGGTACAAACCATGATTGTTGAATGTTAACCAAAAGCACCTTCCCTATTTTGCAAAGCCACTGGCAATAACGACCAAATGTTTCCTCTCCTCCACCCTAAAGCGGTTCTTTCCCAGAGCCCAGTAAATCTACCAACAAAGGAGGGAAGACGCGGGTTCTGTTTTCAAACCTTCACCATCAGAATTCATCCTACATGAAGCCTTCCTCCTGGCTTGCTTCTGCACATCCCATAAAACACTGGACTCGCCACGGGTTGGGGGAAGGCAGCTTGTCTGCTACAGGGTTTGATTTGGAGATAGCATCAGTTTTATCACACAATCTTTCATCTTGGTGATGTTGAGTTTCAGAGAAAAGTGACAGGATTTATATCCAAAACAGCTCAGCTGTCAGCAAATGTCCCTCATCTGAAGGATAGGAAGGGAAGAAGCTTTTTTATGATTCATGGGATCTGTTCCACCTACACATGCAAAAAAACACACTCCACAAACCATGGCACAAGTCCAGTTCTTTCTGAGCTGTGTCCTCCTTTAGTCCTATTTGTATGTTCTGTTTCTCAGTGGCTTATCAGATCCTTTCCAAAGCACTTGGGATGTACAAAAGAAATTCTCTGGAACCCAATGAGCTCCACACAGGGAAAAAAACATCAGAAACGCCGTGCACACCAGAGCTCTGTACACACAAGACAGCCCTCCCAGTGCTGCCTGGAGTGTAACGTTGTGTCCTGTAATGAAAGGTGAGGTGAGAAAAGGAAGTTAGGAGCAGGTTCTATCCCACCATAGAGAGGATGGTGGGACAGAACACAGGCAGTGCTGCTTTCTGACAATGGCAAACACCCACCCTACCTCGTGGGAGGCATTTCCTTACCCAACAAGAGCAGCCTCCGAGCTGCCCAGCCAAGCAGCACGAGTGTCCGTGCTCTGGGGTGCAGCTTCACAAACCAACACATTGCTAAGGCACGTGCAGGAACAGCACAGGAGAGCTGCTCAAAAGCCTCTTTGTACAAGATCCTTCTGATGTTGCCAGCTGCCTTTTTCAGAATAGACAGTGCTACAGCCACTCTATTAGTACAGAATCAGGGACGATACTGATCAGCGGGAACATGTGGTAAGCATGGAAGATCTCTCAATATCGCTGCTGTAAAGCTACAGCTTTGCAAACTGAGGAGCTATCAAGGAGTTCTGGCAACAAAGAACATAGCCAGCTGCTCCCAAGGATGTTTTACCACACAGTTCCATCCTGTGAAGCACCATCTCAGGGCACCAGCCATAGCTCTGGGTTGAGAAAGGCGCAATGGCAAGCACAGAGCTCTGAACCCACACACACTGGTGGCTGCCATCTGGCAGCTCTCCACCACACATTCCTGCCCTTCAGTCATCTTACTGAGCTTACTGCAAAGGGATGTGTAAAGCTATGGGGGGAAAAAAACCCTCCTCACAGTATGCTGCAAAGCAGCCTGAAGTACTCAGGAAACTAATGGCACCCTGCACACATCACCTCCCAGACAGCGGGGCAGCCACTGACCCTCTGCCACCGGGAGAACCCCTCTGGTCGTCCCAGGGTCCAAGAGACCACCGTGAGCTCATCACATCGTGACAGGAGAAGAGAACCCCAAGAACTCAGGCTTTTTCTTTTCTACTTGAAACCCCACAAGACACTAGGTCACACTCCTACGTTTGCTCCCAAGAGCAAACACCCTGGTGCAGTGACAGGCATGCTGCACACGTGGCAGGAGGGAGGAGACACACACAAGGGTCTGAGCTCCACTACACACAGCACTGAGCGAGGAGGAAGCTGCCTGCAGAAACCAAAGTTTCCTCAACACTGGGAAATGAGCACTTGATTTACATGACCACAAGGTAAGGAGATCCTTATGGAGACAAAGGGGCAGGAATCAGAACTGATGCCCTGAGAACCACCAGAGAAGCCTCTCTCACAGGAGTTTTCTATGAAACAAGCCAAGATCTGCTGTGATCACTTGATATCTGGGAGTTACCAGTGATGGTGGTTTGTTCTGGCTCCTGCATTTCACAAATGGGCTGTTGGTAAGACCCAGTTTGTTCCAAGAACATCCTCGCCAAATTCTATTTTGAGAGAAAAACAATTATCCTTCAAGCCTTTTTTGGTCAGACACTTTATACCTTCTACTCACTACTTCTTTCTGTGACAGATCTTTATTCTCTAAAAGGTTTGTTTTTTTTTTTTAAGAAGGAAAAAAAACCCAACCTGGATTGTTGCCACCAAGAATATTAGAGTAGTTCACATGGGAGGAAAGGAGAAAGGGACAGGGACTGGTTATTGATAAACCATGCTGCTGCTCTTGCCTATTAAGGCCCCCTGAACATCTGAACACAAGAAGAGGGGATATTCAAAAGCTACTGGCTCCTTTGGCCTTAAGTGGCAGCTTCTAGAACAAAGAATGAGGATACAGAGCATATAGTGCAGTATGCACACAACAGCAATATCAGAGCAGGCTCTGGCTTTCAGCAGCCCTTGCCAGGCACCCTCACTTCACACCTGCATTTCCTCGCCTGGTGTCCTACTGTAAAACAGACTTACAGAAACATACAAAATGCCTTCTATTAAAAGCCAGCCTTGCCAGCAGCCCAGTGACTGAGGGCTTACTTGAATGCCACCGAGGAGCTGGATGCCTGGCAGTCAGTAATGCACGGAACGGAACAAGTTCATTGCCCTGTGCATGCAGGCTCATTAACAGCAACACAAACCCAACCTCACGCACAGGAAGAACAAGCACACCACCAGCGCCCACCTACAGCACTCCCCTTGAAGGGCCTTGGCCACTTCTCCCACAGCCTGCAGCTTGGAGGCAGTTTCACTGCATTTATCAAGCATGAGCAGCCTTCCTCCACTGAGCAGTGAACTCCCCTTATTTTAGAACCCTCAACAACCCAAGAGAGGGAGTTCCAGCTCAGGGCACTGACTGCTGCCTATGCTGTTTTCAAGCTACTCCCCGCTTTGGATGTTTGCTTTTAATGAGGGCAAAGAACAACTAAACCTGTTTGTCCTCTATTTGCATGTGGAATTTCAATTCATAAAAGCCAACAATGAATAAAAAAAAAAAACCAACAAAAACAAACCCCCCATTTAGAAGCAGTTTTCTGCCTTCTACAAGGGGCAGCACCTTTGTTAAAATTTAATGGCTTTAGAATCACAGAATCATTTAAGTTGGAAAAGACCTTTAAGATCATCCAGTTCAACCACTTCAATCTCAGTTCAGCTCTTATTCATCAGACTTTGATATGTACAGAATACCTACTTATTAATTAAATGTAGATTTCAGAGTACCACAGGATTATTCATCCCAGAGTTAGTGGCATTAGTTTCCTGTGGAGAGCACAAGTGCCACGTTTGCTGATCACACAAATGGGTTCATCTTAATGGTTCAGCATTTGGAAAGAAAACATAACTTTAACACCAAGTTCATCGGTTTGAATGCGGCTAACTCTGCAATGAGACATGCATGATTCACCTTCTTTTGGGACAATTAAATGCATTTTCTTACAGTGCTCATCAAATGTGCGATATGAAAGGGCCCGAAAAACAAACGTAGAGTATCAAGGCTGAGCGTGACATTTCCATAAATCCCATGGAGACAAACGGCGTTCACTTAGCACAACTGGGACCTGCACACAAACAGTGCCCGCTGCCGAGCACGACCGAGGACACGAGCTCGCCCCTGTAACTCCTCTGTACCAGCTGCCTGCGGTGATCGCGAAAGCGGAACAGAGAAAGTTGATGCACGAACTCCTCCTCCCTTCCACAACAAAAGACATCCCCAGGCCACCCCCACACAACGGGACAGGCTGGATTTCACAGTGCCTTGTCTCTTCCCAGCGACGGAAAACGACACGTTGTCTCAGCAGCAGGAGGGTTTTATGCCCCAAGGACAGGCAGGAGCAGGCTGTGCTGTGCCAGGCCAGCTCAGGGCGCCGCACCTCAGCGTTAGACTTGGGTCATTTTCCTCGAGGCCAAACTAAGCGTATTTTTAAGGCTGTGAACTGGTTTTTGATCACAAAAGATGAGCAGACGAGGAAAGCTGAAGAAAACCGAATTCATTTAGAAACAGCAGTCTGGAAATCAGCGTGCTCTCGGGTTTCCCGTCTGCACACACACTGCCTGTGCAGGGCATTTTCAGCTCTTTCCTGGGCTGCTTTCAGAAACCCGAGTGCACTGCGAACGTCCCAACAGCGACCGAGCCCGACACACCTCCGGGAGCTCGGCTCACCCTCCCGGGGCCGCGGGGAGCCCGGCCACCCGACAGAGCCTCCTATCTCCCCCTCTTTACCTTGCTGTCCTCGCACTTCTTCACCTGGCCGTCCCTGGCCTGCAGCTGGCTGCTCAGGTGGCTGTAGTCGGCCTCCTTCTGCTCCAGCTGCTTCTTGTGGGAGTCCACCTTGCCCATGAGGTCCGAGTTCCTCTTCTCCAGGCGGCCCCGGGCCACCTCGGTGCGCTTGGCCTGGCTCTGCAGCTCGGCCAGCTCCTCCTGCAGCAGCGCCTGGCGGGACGAGGCGTTCCAGCAGTTGAAGGCGAGGATGGCGATCACCAC